GGCAGCCTGCCCAATCAGCATCAGAATATGCCCGCATATGATCCGTCTGAGAGGGTGATATGGTGATGCGATGGGTAGGTGTACCATGTAGATAGCGCAGAACATGCTTCATAGCTGTAACATGTGGCACACGAGGATCATGAAGAAATAGGCATAGTTGCTGCACGGCATATGTAATATCTGGGCGGGTGAAGGTGAGATACTGCAGTGCTCCCACAATGGAGAGATATAGAGAGGGATCTGGCGCTGGAGGACCGACCGTGGCCGAAAGCTTCCCTCGGGTGTCCACGGGTGTAGAGACTGGTTTGCAGGAGGTCATGCCGGCCCGTTCAAGTATATCATAGATGAACTGAGTCTGAGTGAGGAATAGGCCATGAGAGGTCCGCTGGACATTGATCCCGAGAAAAAAGTGAAGGTCGCCCATATCTGTCATAGCAAACTCCCCTTTTAGCCGTGCTGTGATCCGGTGAAGGAGGGCAGTAGATGATGCTGTGAGGACAATGTCATCAACATAAAGCAGGAGAAGAGCCATGTCCTGGCCGCGACTGTAGACAAACAAGGAGGTGTCGCTCTTACATCCACTGAAGCCAAGAGAGAGAACAAATCCTGTGAAACGCTAGTACCAGGATCGGGGTGCTTGTTTGAGTCCATAAAGCGCCTTATTTAATATGCAAACATAATGTGGGCGAGCAGGGTCCTGGAATCCCGAAGGCTGAGCGGTGTAAATAGTGTCTGAGAGGTAGCCCTGTAAGAAAGGATTTTTGACGTCGAACTGGTGGATCGGCCAACCTCTGGACACGACAAGGCTCAGGACAATGCGTATAGTGGCCGGTTTGATGCCATGGCGTTGATTGAACCCACGAACAACCCATCGAGCTTTGTACCTGGACAGTTCACCTGTTGGGCCAATTTTGTGGCGGAAAAGCCATTTACCGGAGATGACATTTTGGTCGGGGGAGGGGGGTACTAGATCCCGTGTATGATTAGCAATCAAAGCATTATATTCATCTAGCATAGCATTGTACCAGTTAGGATCTTTGAGAGCACTACGGTAGCAATCAAAGCATTATATTCATCTAGCATAGCATTGTTTGACAATCGGGCTAAAGGTCACGTCGTAGTCGATGCCATGGCGTTGATTGAACCCACGAACAACCCATCGAGCTTTGTACCTGGACAGTTCACCTGTTGGGCCAAGTTTGTGGCGGAAAAGCCATTTACCGGAGATGACATTTTGGTCGGGGGAGGGGGGTACTAGATCCCGTGTATGATAAAAATTATGAAATTAGGTTTGGGAATTGGGACTTACCGCTAGTGGCTACGGTAGAGCACTGCCGTCGGGATTGCTACTCTGCTGGGGTCCTGACTCCACCTACGAGGAACTGAAGGAGGACGACTACACGAATTGATTGCTAATTTTCCGGAACTTCTAGAGCCGGAACTCTTGCAGCAGGAACTCCTGAGGCCAATACTCAATAGAGAATGGGGACGAGGAATTGGACAGTGGCGGATTCTCTGGTCTATTTTGGGCCTTGGGAAATCGGAAAAGGTTTAAGCAGAGATTCGGTAAAAAAACGTGTATAATACGATTAGGCTTAAAATACGCGTATTTTAACGTATTTTATAAACTTGTACGTTAACGCAAGTATAATATACGTATTATACGTACGTAAGTATAATTCGCGTATTAACTAACTAGGCTAGTGAGTAGTGCCCTTGTGGTTTAGATCATGGTCAGCATTCACCAATGTACCCCACTATCAAAAATTTAGCCGCATTCTGCAGCATGAAATACCTAAGCCAAAATTCCACGGAAGAAAAGAGTATACATATAACCTTTTAAAACCATAACAATTGTGGAAGTAAATTCTTGAGGGAGGAGAGAGGTAGTGAAGCCTTTTTTTTAACTCCACAAGACACTAAACCTATTTACCTTGAGATATTATGTAATGACTTTGAGGTTATATGTAGACCCGACAAAACTGATACGGACCCGATAATCCAACCGAATATGAAATGACCTAAAGACTGAAGAATCGAATTAAATCCAAACACCTGAAATGATCCAAACCGAACTGAATGTATTCAAACCCAATTCAGATTCAGATCTGGTTGAGCTCGAACCAGTTAGACTCGAACCGATTAAAACCCAGAACCGATTAGACCCGAAACTTATTACAACCAAAATTGATTAGACTCAAAACTGATTAGACCCAATATTTATCAAGTTCAAAACAAATTAACATCAAATCTAGACAAACCTAATAGCTAATTGGTTGATGCCTTTCTATGAAAAACTTTTACTCCGTATTTTATCACATAAATTTAGGTTGTTGTGTATTTTTATAGAGAATTTATATAATTTATAGTGATATGGTAACAAACATTAATTGATATACCAGCTCATTATTCTTGACACTTTTATATATACTCCCTTTACACCTAGGGATGAGAGGCTACACACAAGGCTAACATTAGAACTCTAATACCAAGGGAACTCATCTGAAACCGGTATAAACCCAAACTGATATAAATTCAAACCAATAAATTAATCCCGAATCAGTATAAACTTGAACTGGTATAAACCCGAACCAAAATCAAATCAAATTTAACCCGAAACCGAACTGACCCAAATCGAACCGACCCTAACCGGTTATAACATATATATTCGAAAGAGACCCGAATAAAAAAGATACGAACCGGAACCAAACTGATTGACCCGTTTGGCAGGTCTAGTTATACATTACATTTTCTCTCAATTTGAGTTAGTTTGTTTACTATCTATGATGTCAAATATAATTCATTTTCCTAACATATTTTTGTTACTTATTTAATAAAATAATATAGCCTATCTTACTTCAATAATATAAGTATGTCACCTTTATTTTTTGACTCCATTTTAATTCTCAAACAAATTAAAATAAAAATAACTTAAATCAAATATGATTAATCAAAAGAGACAATTTAATATAATTTGAGAGGGGAAAGTAATTGAAACCCCACCGATAATCATAAGGAGTATATGTCCGCGCGCGGCGCATAATATTGGTGACGAGGGAAGAGGATATGGTTGGATGGGCGGCATCCTACGACATAAAGACCTTATCCACTTCTTAAATTAGTCAATGATATGGTTGTGAACCGTACGATCGATCTTCCTATCATCCCCATCCCATACATATATATCAGCAGATCAAATCGAATGTGGGTAAGATTATAGCTTTGGGTTTGAACTGAAAATACCATTCGGAGTAACTAAATGCGAATTATCGAATTAAACTATCTCTTCATTATTTTAAATTCACGCAAACTTTAATTTGTTTATGTTTCTTCATTAGTTTTTTTAACAAAATTAAATATTTTATTATACCTTTTGTTATAGAATTTTTAAGGTAATTTTTGAATATGTATTTTAAATTTTTATACAAATTTTAATAAATAAAATAAATTATTAGAGTGCATAAGACACTTGGGTATGAATAATAGGATTGGGCAATAAGACACTTGGGTTGAACCACATTAAAAGATTGAATCCAATCGATTAGTTAGTTTAACTCAAGAGCTTATATACCAGATTATTTTACTCTTGAACTTCCGATGTGGGATGCACTCTATCACTCCCCCTCAAGTGGACAACCGGGCCATTTTGAATCTAACCGGTTGAACACTTGCAAATGAACTCTCATTCCCTTGACTTTTTTTTGAGCGCCAACACTTAAAGGACCACGAGCCGCTGGGTATGGACTTTCAGACGAGCAATCGTGTTAAACGGGCCACAGGCCGTTGGGTACATACTTCATACGGGCAACTGGGCTAAAGACTAACGGGCCGCTAGGAATGAACGTCTAGACGGACACCTTGACAAACGAGGTG